GAAATAAGCATCTGGGAAGAGCGCTTGTGATGCGCTTGCGCCGAGGCCTTGTCAAGGGGGAACCGGCATTAAAATTTCGGATATGGGGTGGGGGGGGGGGGGGTCCAAGGTCGGCTGATTTTTTTTTGTAGGGTCACTTATAAAAGAGCTTTGAGAAGCTTCAAAAATGTGCTTTGTCAGTGTTAAATGGTTCAGAGAGCAAATGAGAGTCTGTTAGAGTATTCTCTGCCAATCTGTGATCCCAAATGAGCAGCAACCCTGATTTGAGTGGCGGATCAGTCTCACGTGCCTTCCAAAAATTCTCTTCAGCTTCACGTCGGGCTCGTTAGGAATAGAAAAGAACAAGAAACAGGTACTACATACTGATTGATTAGTCGTCCATCATCGATATGCATCCTAGACCGGAGACGTCAAACATGTCCCATCCAGCAAGCTACCGTGCCCGGACAGCTGCGGTAAGATTTATTCCGACATTGAAAAAGCCAATCGGGCAGAGATTGCCAAATTTTCAAGGAGGGTATGCAAGAGGCATTGGGTGATTTCACTCTGTGTCTCACGGCTTTTCGCGCTGACGACTCACCAGTTCCATGACCCTTGTCTGAGCGAAGGTGTGTTGTCACTGAATCCGACCTGCGAGGTGTGTGGTAGGCATGAGCAGGCTGCAAGGCGTCAGAAAACGGTTTAGGGCATGTCAGTAGCTGAAAAATCACTATAGACAGCCTTGATGTACACCCAGAACTTGTGAATAAATGAGTCGCTGAACGCGGGGATACGGCCCGGCATCAGGGGTGGGGGTGGGAAAACTCCTTCCTGTTATGGAAGGGGAGGGGGGGGGGGGGGGGGGGGTTCCGATGAAGGTCGAAATATATCCGATTTTCGAATCCCGGTTCCCCCTTGGGCCTTGTCACATCCGCAGGGCTTTACGTGTTTGTGACACTTTCGACACAGCCCCATCCCGCTTACTTCCTTACACTGTGGATCTTACCTTCAAGGGCTTGCGAGGGCACTTCAGGCCTTTCAAAAACCGGTTCTCCAAACCCACCACTGCAGCGGCTGTAACTGCATCCAGCTTACTCGCCAAGGAACTGTGGGACGAAATCCTAGATTGTCTTGCTCAATGTCCTAGCGCGCTCTTGGCCACAGCTCTCGTCTGCCGTGCGTTTGTCGGTCGATCCCAGATGCTCCTATTTCGCAGCACCCACATCGCCCGTCCCCCATTTCCAGTCGCGGCTAATCAGCTCGCAAATATTCTCACCCGCTCGCCACATCTTATCAACTACATTTACGAGCTGTGGATTGGCAGGTGTGATGCAGAAACCCTTGCCCCAATTGTCCATTTACCTTGGTCGCGTCTGTCTGCAATCCACTTCGCGCGGCACCATACGGAGGAAAGGCTGGCGGTCGATCAGATCACTGCCTTTGTTTCTCTTCCCACATTACACCAACTCTCTTTCTATAGTGCCTGGGACCAACACGACCTGCACACCATTCTGGCGAGCTGCAACCGCGGCATCATCAACGTTGGTTTTTGGGTGTTCGATCCGCCTACTCCTTACGATCCTCCACTCGCAAACAACTCCTCCCATTTGCGGATCACACATCTCGATCTGTCCGTCGGTTTTAACATCTTCGATTTCGTCGTGCATGCCGCGTCTCCCCTCGATTTATCCCACCTCACACATCTTAAATGGAATTGTTCGGCTCAGGACCCGAGATTCTATCAATTCCTTCGCACCGCGAGTCGTACCATCCAAAGTTTGGAAATCTGGGGTACGGGTAAGTGTGTTTCACTTCTTGAAATGATAATGTGTCTCATAGTGACACCACGTCTTATAGTTGCAGAGCACGCCGTGGTGTCCGTAGACTTCGGATCTTGGCCAGCGCTGTCGCATATCACCGTCTACAGCACGACGGCACTGCTCGTAAAAGCCATTGCCTGTGCAAGGACTCTTCGCACAATTCGCTTCGTTTTTCTACCCGAAGCTCGGGGGCAGCTCCCGAATTTAGAGGCCGCTCTTCTTGCGGCGGATATGCCTGCGCTGCAGAGGGTGGAGCTGCAGGTATTCTGGCCTTCCAAGCACCGCGATACGTCCAGCATTGCTCAGTGGAAATCGGTCATAAAAACGAAGGTGTTCAGAACCGAGGCTGTGGAAGAACCCCCTGATCTCAGTCGTACGGAGTTGATGGCGATGGTTGAGAAGAAGATGCCGCAGCTTATGGAACGCGGAATTCTGCACATTTGGATAGATGAACCATGGAGCTGGAATACCCACTTGTTTAGAGAATATGTTTAATTACACGCAGGCTCCGCCAGGCATGCACTCGTCCTCGATGTTATTCAGCTGCCCGAGATCTCTTAGAAAGTGAGTTTGTCGACAATGGCTGGGTAGTGGTGTAATTGAGGCTCCGGGCAAGAAATTCCAAAGTATTCCTGGATATGGTCAAACATGTTGTCACGTTCCTCAGCGCAGTTACTGGGATGGACGGTGGGGCAGGCATTTGATGGTACTGAGCGGAGATGAGCTACAATCTGTTTATATGGTGCAGCAATGACAGATGTCTTTCTTTACCGGGGTAAATTAAATCGCTATGGGCAATCTCCGAGATGCGGTCGGTCGGTACGGTGAGTACCGGAGTTGTCTGTTTTTTTAGACAAAATGCTGCTCCTCGGTAGATAACTTTTACTGCCGGTTCTCGTTTTGATGCCGGGCGAAACTCCGATCTGCATCTCGGAGCATCTGTAGTTTGGATCTGATTTGATAGCGCAAATTACAGGAGATGCTCATTACACGCGCCCGCATTCTGTATGTCATCCAACTGTTCAGTCTGCCCGAGAGTCTACTGAAGCGGTCAAATTTGTAACAAAACACGAATTAGTTGGGCGAGATTTGGACGAGGAAAAAAAGGAAAGAATAGCATAAGGTATTCACAGGGTAGGCCGCTTCATTTCACCCTGACTCGTCGGATACATACGAGAGTCGGACATATATCTGAGCGGCGAACAGAAAATTCTCCCCGTCTTTTCCGTGTGATGTGGTATAGCCAAGTTGAACGTATTTAAGCGGATTCTGAACCCTTGTCCGTAGTTGCTTCTTACCCGGTACGTAACCTGCTCAAATCTACCAGAAAGTTTAAAGGAATAAATGGAAACAGAAAAATGCATGGGACTCCCGACCAGGAATGATCATGACTCGAGCGCAACTAAATCGGAAACACGGACGGACCATCCGCCACTGGCCCTTTTGAATGCAAGCTTTATTTATGCCATGACAATTATGTGCATCCCACATCGTACATACACTTACCCGAAGATAACAGAAATTCAACCTTTGATTGGTTTGTGAGCGGGAATAAACTTGCGATGGAGAGGATGGTGGTCAGTGAACGAGATTATGGTTTGTGGGGGGCTGGGGACTCCTCTTGTTAATGAAACATGACTCGGACCTGGTTCCAACCGGCCACTGACCTGCAACATTGTATGCAGGACTATGTGAGGTGGCGCACTGCGGCACCGAGTCAGTGCGCACCATGAGTTGGCCCTGAATACATGTCTTAGTAAATTTGTTTCACTCCTGCGGTATAGACCAACCCAGTGGAAAATCCAATAGGGCTTTGCGATTTAAACTCCAGACCAAATAATAAGGGAGAAAAGAAAAAGCACTTTCGTCTTCTGTTCTTCTATGTAGACTCAAAAGTACATGGCGGAATAAAAATTCAATACATTGAGTTTGCAAGTATTCAAGGCCTCACTCACAGAAATCGATACGAACGGATTTTACGCGCTTATAGACAATGAAGAAACCTGATTCTCTCTTTCCACTGCCAGGAATGCAAAAAAAAAACAATCGCGTTGTCGACCCCATCATGACTCGGGGCGGGTTTGAAGGGGCAACTTCCACTTGAATGAGCAGATTTGATCACGTGAAGTGGATGCGATGCATTTCGCCACCGAATCGGTCGTTGAGTGATACAAACTCGGACCATCTTGAACGAACAGAGAGTAGAATAAGTAAATAAAATGTGTGTCGTGGACAGGCAGTGAAGCGGATTCTGTGGAAGCATTCAGATAGATATTCGCTAGGGTGGAGGGAGGGATTTGTAGGGCTGCTCGCCGTGCCCGTCACGGGCACGGCCGTCGTTTCGACGGGAGTGCAACGGGCAAACCCGTCCAGTTTCCGTCCCGTCGTACCAAGTAGAAAAATCTCTACGGGACGGGACGGACGACGGTACGGCCGTCACGGTCAACGCGACGGTGACGGATCGTGGCCCGAGGAATAACTTTCTACTTTCGCCTTAAAATATGTGCAAATTTGGCCTAGTGTCGTCGCTTTCAGTCCGAGGAAGACTAGCGGTCAGGCCGATATTAAAAGCTACTTGCATAGGCGCACAGTGAGCAGTTTTGTACTCCAGAACCTCCATTGTGAGAGGCACTGATTTTAGAGCTGCTTAAGATATTGTCCTGGGAATCCTTTCCCAAAATCTGGGAAGTAACAAGACGGTCGAAGTGAAGACTCTAATTCCAATAAAAACACTCAACTCCTAGTCGAGAATTTTCAACTCGATTGAGTCCTACCGCACCGGGGGGATGGGGTCGTGACAGAACAGATAGAATTGAGGTGGTGAATCACCAAATCACTTCATACCACTTCTGTAAGGAGCCTAACACTAGAGCAGTGAGTTTCTACTCAAAGAGCCATCGGAATTTGCACGATTCATGCGTTGACCGTTATCAAATCCGTCGCCCGTCGACGGCCGTTATTTTGACGGCCGTTGAGTCCAAACACCGTCCCGTTGCCGTCCCGTCGAAAAACTTCCAAAGGCCTCGACGGAACGGGTCGGCTACCCATCGCACGGAACCCGTAGAACCGGCGCGACGGGCACGGCATACAGCCCTAGGGATTTGAACTTGAGGAAATGGAAAACCCGACTCAGTCGGGTAAGTGAAGCGTCAGCGAAGCCAAAAGGAAACGAAGAAAAAAAATGGACAAACCACGAAATTAGGATTCGAGCCGGAGTCGAACCGGCGAATTCCACACAATGGAAGTGGACGCGTTAGCACTACGCCATCGAGCTGATGCGTCTAGTACCCACAATGTGGAAGGAAGAATGATAACATGAGAAACTTGACGCACTCCTATGTATATCAAGCTTAGTTGAGGCCCCACTCACTCGCCTTAGATTTCAAACATCCGAAGCTCGAACAAGTTTGGTAGAAAAAACCTGCTTTTCCTCTTTCCCCACAGCGCCAAAGGACGCTGCGAAGCATCAATTTTAATGGTGATGATGAACTCGCGGACTCGAGAAATGGTGGAGAAGAGGATCGGATGGCTTCGTCCGCGACTTGAGCTGCGAGGCATTTTCTTGTATACAATCTGGCTAATGTGGAAAAGTAAGGAGGGGCCCCCCCAAAAAATGGTTCATTTCTCCGTCCATGACTCAAGCCGGATTCGAACCGGCGACTTCCGCGAACGTCCGTCCGTTCGTTTCAAGTACCACAAGCGGATGCGTTAGCACTATACCATCGAGTCAATGCGTCTCATAGGTGGAAGAACGAAAACCTGACAAACTTGAAGACAGAGCTTGGACAGGGCACCGAGCAGAATCGGCATCACGGCAAAGCACGTGGCCGCAGCCAATAGCAACGCGTTGCTGCCGTCATTTCCTCTTTCGTCCAAACTCTTGTGTAACACTCTCTCGTCGAACACTCAAGTCCAGTCGAGGCGTCCATAGATCTCGCTTTGACTTGCATTCTACGCTCTATTGGGTTACTCCCTTTGCACCACTAAGAACTCCAGAAAGGATTACTTGACTTGACTTGGACGCCACTCGATTCAGGCCTAGTCGATTACAAGATTTAAGGCTCCAACCGTTTAGTTTTCGTTTACGGATTTCGGTAAACTAAACGGAAACGGTTGGTAAACAGTTTAAAAACGTTTATAAACGTTTATAAACGGTTATTTTCCCTCGATTTTCTTCAGTTAAATATTGCATTTGGATTGACTACAGAACTAGAACTTCAACAGCCCCGCCTTTATCCACATCTTCGTGAGCATCACTACATAATGGTGTCAGCATGCATAGATGACCAGGTATCACGACACAAGTGTCTTGACTTCGAGAACAGCCGCTCCACGGACACACTTGTCCCTGGGATGGCCAGCGAGTCTCGCGCCATGGCAGCGATAATCGGGAAATCGTGTTCATTCCGTGTGGGAGACGCACTAGCAAGAACATTCTGGTGAGCAGCGCTAGGTGCTTCCCCATTGGCGCCATCCGTGACTCTGGACGATGCCTGGCAATTGCGGCGTGATTTCGCAGTGGGGGCAGAGGACATCTTCAAGGTAGTGTCTAACGCGTCTCAGACTCTGGTCACAAAATGTGACAAATTTATAGAGTGGAGGTGCCAAGCATGATGTCGGTAAAATTGGGGTCGTTGTGGATGAGCGAGGAAGCGAGCAAGCAGGCGGCGTAGGGAGCGTATAGGGGGTGTATGACGGAAGAGGTAACACATCATGCTAATCCGGCGTCTCACTTGTCCGAAAATAACCGTTTAAACCGTTTGTTTACCGTTTGTTTACCGTTTACAGAGGTTGGTAAACTAAACGGTTAATATAAACGGTTAAACGGTTTGTAAACGGTTGTAAACGGAAACGGTTGGAGTCTTAACAAGATTTCTCGAGGGAATAAGGAGGAGAATCGAAAATGGCAAGTCCCGCATGGCACTACGTCTTGAAATTCATCATCACTGGCGACGCTGCGGTCGGCAAGTCTTCGCTGCTTGTACGACTTACGGACCAGCGATTTCTTGCGAATCCGGATCCTACTGTGCGTTTTGCTTCTTCGCTTTACACAGAATATTATAAATAATTCCCCTCACGCAGCTCGGCGTCGAATTCGGCTCTAAATTAATCACCCTCCCCGGCCCCGAAGCCACAGTTGTCAAGCTCCAATGCTGGGATACAGCGGGTACCGAGTCGTTTCGATCAATAACGAGGTCGTATTATCGGGGCGCTGCAGGTGCGTGTCTTGTCTTTCTCTCTCCTCCTCCTTTTACACTCGTTAACTCTCACGCACAGGCTGCCTCCTCGTCTACGACGTCACCTCCCGCCGCTCTTTCGACAACGTCCGCACATGGTTCGCAGACGTCCGGGCACATGCAGATGCGCATGTCAGATGTATACTCGTAGGGAATAAGGTGGATTTGTGTGAGGGGGAGGGTGAGCCTTGTTCTCGCATTTCTTTATTTTTTCGGTCTCAGCTTGTCTGCTGCGGTGGCGGCGGACGGGGACGAGAGGCGTGCGGCCCCGCCCCTGAAGGACCTGCCCCGCAGCGGGGACGTGGCGAACGGGTGCCGCGCTGCCTAGAACGTGCGCGGCCAGGTGCGGTAGTAGGTGTGGGTGGGCGATGGACTCGGGTCGTGACGTGTCTCGCCTACATGCGTAGGTGGCGCTCGGGCCAGTATGGCTGCTTTGTGCGTTGGTTTGGTGGCGATATCGAGATTGGCACTCTCATGGCGGTCCTCAAGTGGTGCCTGTACGCGCGCTTGAGCCGATTCCGCAGGCCTGCTTGCTCGGGGACGCGGAGCATCTGCTAGTGCGGAGCTCACGGCGTGCCGTGCGTGCGTGCGTGCGTGCGTGCGTGCGTGCGTGCGATGGTCGAAGGAGAGAGAAGGATGCGTCTGCTTTTTCGGGCGGGAAATATCTCTCTCTTTCAGCGTCCCCGTGCTCAGTCTGGGCATGCATCTGGCATGTATGCTCAGCCAGCCGGGGACAGAGAGATCCGGCGCTGCGTCTATCGATACGCCTGCATTGATGGTGTGCGTCGAGCATAGATTCATGGTGTGCACCTCCACCACACGCGAGTATGGAGAGCCCCTTCCTTCCTGTTTCTCCCCCCACTCCCTCATCCTCACGCACTCCTTCCGCTTTTCTTTGCTCCCCCCCTCCCATCATCATCCCTGTACCCTCTTTTCCGTCCCCCTTGCCTTGCCTTGCCTTGGCTTCCTTCACCTCCTACCTCCCTCCCGCCCCTCTCTCCACTATCTCGCCCTCCCCCCTGGCCTTGCCTTGCCTTCGTTCGCCTCCTTCGCTTCGTCCCCCTCCCTCTCTTTCTATCTCGGCCCCTCCCTGTTTTCCACCTCCCCGCCTATCCTAACACCCCCACAAACGCAAACTAACGCTCCCAACGTAACAGGACCTCTTCCTCACCGCAGCCTCCGCCCGCTCCGGCGCGGGCGTCGAAGAAGCCTTCATCCGCGCCGCGGAGGAGGTGCTCGGCAAGGTCAGTGCGGGCCGGTTTGATGATGATGAGAGGGTGCGTTTTTATTCATTCATTTCTGTGCGATGAGAGAGGGAGGGAGGGAGGATGTGTCTCTATCGGGGCGCCGCGGAGGCGGGCAGTGAGCGCAAGGGGAGTGCACACGAAGCGTGCGATGTGCGGGAGACGCAGGGCGCAGGTCGAGGGGCATAGATCTGCGGCGTGGTGGCGCCCTGCGCGGAGAAGGGGCAGAGGAGAGTAAGAGGAGGTGTGCAGAGCGGAGCGCCGACACCCTGGCGTGAGCTGATGCCCGAGATCGAGGTGCAGAGGTGCTGGTGTCGGTGTGGGAGCGAGTCGAGGCGCGCGCACCAGAGCGAGGAGCGGTGTAGTGCGCAGGTGCAGGTGCAGACAGAGCTCCGAGTCGAGGCGCGTGCAGGTGGAGGTACCGTGTCGTGGGCGGACGTCACTACCTGCTGATGCACCCACCGGCTTTGGGACGGTAGCGAGCGTGGTGTGTGCGGAGACGGAGGCGCGAGTGCCACTGCCTACTCGGGATGCTATGGCTGTCGGACGCCTGCACGAGGCGCGGTCGAGGGATGTGCTGAGTCTGCGCTGTTCGTGCCGCAGCAGGCGGCGCGGTAGTGGTTCGCGGGAGCGTGGGAGGAGGTGCGGGGACGACGCTTGACCGAGGCGAGTCGAGACGAGACGCGTACGTGTGCGGGGTGACAGCGCTGCGCAGACAGACGTGGCACGCACAGGGGTACCAGTGACCGGGCCTGCCTGTAGTAGGGTTCCAACCCGATAAACGGGACGGCCGTTAAAAAAAAATGGCCATTTCTGCCGCCGAGACGCGCAATGGCCACATCAGCTCAAGAAATGGTTTGACAAGGTTCGATTCTTGAGTGATCGTGGAATTGATGCATGTCCCACAGATCGAATTAAAATTCTCATAAATTTTGGAAAAGTATATGGGATACTTATCCAGCATATGGATTATATTTCTCAGAAACTTTCTTTGTCGGTAATCAATTTATTTGGCCCCATCCTTGCGGAGCGGGCAATCAAGGCTCCATTGTTTCACTCAACACTCTTCTCCTGTGGAAGAATGGAGACCTAAGAATGACCCAAACATTTCCTGTATTCATCTCACTACGTAAAAGGATCAAAAATCACAATCTTCTGAAAATCCCACAGAATATTTGAACAGGCACGGCCAAGTATACCTTTTCCAAGATGTCCTGGTCCTAATAACTTGGCCTACGCCATTTATCGAAGGTCGAGCGGGTTCTTCATCTGTGTTCAGCAGTGGCCAAAAGTCACTCCTCGTCAGGTTTATTTCGAAATATTCACCGACTCGGTCGCAGATGGCTCGCATCTGCAATCATCAGTTGCGTCGATAGGTCTAAAGGAGCAGAAATCTGTTCGATTCAGGGCCAGGTCCTTCCATGTTCTGGTATTCTTTTCTTTGGCTCACACTCAAACCACAATTCTCTATCTTACGCTTCGCTGTACGTTCTCGACGCCATTCTTGCATTTGGGATAGCCAACATTTGTTTCACTTCAAGACACTGTGGCACGCCACTTGTGTTCTGCCCTTCACTGCATCAGCACCACTGACCCACACAAGAATGATAACAGTGGCAATGGTGCTGGTGGGCATCATTTGGGGGTTCCCGTCGTGGCTTCGTCGTTGCTCCTCCTTGTCTGTCAGTTTTGTTCCCGACACAAGGAGTCTTCTCGGTCGTCTCGACAAGTGCCTCCTGCAACAGAAAAAGGTTTTGTAGCCTCGCATCTACCTACCGTCTTGTCGAGCTTTCCCAAAAGCCTTTGCACCCAGTTACTGTTTCACCGCTTTTTTTTTTTTTTCGCACCGGGCTAACGTGAGATATTTCCATTTCGTCAACTCACCGCGTGATTCCTGTGTAGTGTGAGTAGAGAATCTCATTTCTATTGCAAGGCTTCATTTGCATTGAACCTCACGCATATGGGTAAATTGTACGGAAGCATGATTAAACTATTATAGGATGATCGCATACATCAAAGTCGTCCTCCTCTCCACATTTAGATCAAAACTGGATCAAGGTCAGCCTCATAATGCAAACCTAGCCCTTCCATTTCAATCCCCGATGGGTCACCCTGGTCATCCACGATTTCGGATGGTGCATTGAGCATTGCCAGATAAGCCAAGTTGGACTGGTGCTGCATCACCACTTCCACACTGGTCTCAGCCAGCCTTTGATCAATATGTTTAACCCGATCTGCCTGTGATGAC